ATGCTCTAAAAAAAATACAACTTTATAATCCCGATCTTTTCCCACATCTCTCATTTTTTCACCATATCAAACATTTTCACAGCAATATTTTCACATCTGTTAAACAATGGGTTACAATACCCACTATCCGATTAAAATTAGAATCACATTGTGTTACAGCAATAGCAGTTATTTTTCTCCTGCCCAGACCTCTGTTCTATTTTTAAAACCAGTTCACAAAGGGACCTTGCAGACAACTGAACCTCACATTCAATAACATAGCAGTCCTCACCAAAGTCTTGTAAAATCTGCACACATCGCACCTTGTCCCCCCCCCCCCTTTCCCCTCCTGTCTCCATAACTGAAGTGACCACGTTCATCGTCCAGTAGATCGACCCCTAGACCGTGGTGTGCTTGCGGAAGTCTAGAGAGCAGGAGTTGACACAGTAGCGTATGCCCGTGGGTTTGGGTCCGTCGTCAAACACATGACCCAGGTGGGCCTGGCACTCGCGACATTTCACCTCCATCCTCTGAAGACCTGGGGAGATCAAATGGGTTAAAAATAAACAGGGGCATTGTTTGTTTGTTTGTTTGTTTTAGTAGAGGTTTTACGGCGCTCGCAACTGCATGAGGTCATATGAGCGCCAGAAGATTAGAGGTGTCACAAGAGAGTAACAAACATAAAAAAAGAAAAAGGGGAGATAAGGACGATAGATGTTTGATAGGAAAGAAGGAGCAAACCACACCAGAGCACCCGCCAACCACCCACAGGGGCATTGTAGAGCACAACTTCTAACCACACAAGACTAAGTACAAATACATACCATTAGGTAAAACTTTAAAATTAATGTTAGCATGACCAAGATACTTGAATCTCCTTTTGCTGATCTCACAAAGTGTACAACATTGTGTATCAAGTTCTTTCAGGACAATTTCATTTGTGAGGCATCTGGGTTAAATCAGGCACACGTCAAAATAATGAAATCAAAGAAATCAATACTTTTCCATCAAACTGGTAAAAAAAAAATTTATGAACTCAATACATTTTACGCTCACTTAAAAACACATTCCTGCATGAATTTTACTGGAAAACATTGATCAAAGGCACAAAATACGGAAATTTGTAGTTTCAAAAGACAAAACAGCTTTGAGAGGCACCAAGCTTTGGTGGCCATTTTCTCGCTAATTTTACCTCCGACACAAGGCAACCCCCGCCTTCTTCAATCATCAATATCTCGACTTCTATTCTAGATCACAGCGCCAAAAACTGGCCGAAATCGTGCCTCTTAGTTTCCCTGGCCAGCTACATCTGGAAGTCATTAAATCACCATCGGAACCGCTCCGCGCCGGGTTACGCGGGGGTCACTGGCCGCTCCGTTGCGCATCAGCTACAGGCGGGCAGATCATGGCGTAATCGACACTTTTGACACTAATTATCGGCAGTATCCTCACTCTAACAACAAATTATTCCAAACAATAAGAAAAGAGCAAGATTCCCCCTCTCTGTCTGCGAAAACCCGATCTCAATGCGACAATATGTGCCGATGTTACAGTGTGTGCCAAATGTTCTGAATTTCATCGAATTTAATATGTGTGCGCTGCTCTTAATTCACTTTTAATTTCCAAAGTGCTTGCTCAATCTCAACAAATTTTGGTACATGCACGGATGACATATTTGTGCTGTACGTGTATAATTTTCATCATTGTTTGAAGAATAGTTCTTGCAATATTAAGTCGCTTACATCTGATTCTCATCCAGTGCCTTGTTAATTGACCCCTGCAATTGCGTATTCTGGATTCTATGCTGTTTTAAGTTCAACACTTCTCCGTTAATTTCATAGATTATTGTTTCTATGAAAGGCAGACATATTTGTGCTTAATGTGTATACAATTCGTCTTTGTTGATTGAGCCCTGATACGATATGAGGTCGAATCCATTTGCCCGTGATTCATTTCTAACAGGTTTACTGAAATCTCCCTCTATGGAACACACACACGGTAGACGTTCCTCCTCCCTGAATGAACTTTGTCGCGTTTGCGGGTGTAAGAACGTGACTAAAGTACAACAGAGGCTGATAAGAAAGGCTAGGACATATGAGTCACTGCCAAGGGATATTTTATCATCCAATCACTGTTGACAAAGCGCACTCTATAGGTTTGATTTTCGACTCTCTCAACCAAACACACAGTCAAATTAATAATGACATCTCACACAGTGCACCTATTCCGAAAACCTCTATTCCAGGAATTCAGACAGCAATAGACACGTACATGAAGCTGTACAGAAGACATTTTCCAAAAAAGAAAATCCCCAAACAGCGCAATTTAGAACAACACTGCATTCCCTCCTTAACACAACATGGCTTTGGCTTGGGCCCGCTGGGAGAAAAGGAACCGAAAGCTGTCACCAGTCTATTTTAAAAATTGAAAAGTGGGTTCAGAGCATCGTAAACAATACGGGAAAACTATGATATGTTATGAACGCACATTAATTTGCTCCAGAGAGCATCTTCCTTGCAGGCACTGGGAAAACAACCACGGCGCCATAGATAAGCGTATAGATCTACTGTACAAAATGTGTAAAGAGATCTGTGTCATTAATTTAATGAAGGATACTGTTATGAGAATTTCATCACAAGCCCGACGAATTTGGCTGTTGAACGAAAATGCAAAAATGTGGATTACTAATCTTCCAACAACGATGTCCTTTGGTAAGTAGATACCAACATTAATTGTCTTTATTCTGAGTAAGTTTTAGTGAGTTTATTCCCGCACTTTGGTAGTTACATAACTTTTAATTCGGTGCATATTTCCTTAATTACCACATATAAAACGGCTGTATTTTGATCACATGCAGTTAAAAAACTATACTAGATATCTTCGTTGCCTTTTCACAAACTGTACATTGAAAAAAAACCCTCAAAGATGGAACACTATGTGTATATTGATAACCTTGCTTTCATTCGTGAGCTTTGAAACAAAAGTGTGTAAAATTGCCATGGTATGTAACTCCGGGCGTGGAGTGAGCGCAGGTAGACTGACCGGCAGCTGACCCCAGTCACGCTGACCTAGCAGCGTACGGCCTGGCGAAACTGAACGACCGCTGATTCGGCGCTGTGAGATAAAAGGATATTTTTTTCACCCTACACAAGACAAATAAATAAGCTTTAAGATGGTACCAATAACTAACTCCACATGCCCAAATATTGCTGTGCGCCTCATTCCACCGCGTGACATATTTGTTCTTATATCCATATATTTGACTTGATGCAGTATTCTATAAAATCAAGTTTAATTTCTAAAAAATGAATGGAGCACCATAATAGAACTTATAGAAGAAGAAGAAGAAAACCACTCCCTCTTTCCCCTCAAACCTACCTCCAAGATTTTCCTCCTGTAGAGTCACTTTCTCTTTCCCCAGCACATCATAAAAAGCAGGCCAACCCGAGTTCGAGTCATACTTGGATTCTGAGGAGAATAGCTGTGTGCCACACACCACACAGTTGTACACCCCTTCTTCTTTCCACTTCACGTACTTTCCAGAGAATGCCCTAAAAGGAAAACGTTTTTCAAAACTTAGAAGGACAAATAAATACTTATAAGAAGAGGAACACATGCAACCACCAACTCTGCCGTCTTGGGGAAAAAGGACGAATATCGCGACATACCCATTTTCCAGGAGGGCCGAAAAATCAAATTTATTCGTCTCACGTTTCAAAAGTTGGTTTCTTATTTTATTTTTAACTTCATTTTTGGCAGGAGGAAGGATGGAGCAATTATGCACTTGTAGTTAAAATTTTGTTAGGAAATATCAACAAAATCTTGTGTGATAAGACAAAAGTCATTCTTTCATAACAGATTGATGATGTTTTAATTAGGTCTTTTTATGAGAAAAGGACGAATGGCGATATTCGTCTTTCTTTCACCCGACGTTGTCAAATAATAACGTCCTGGATTTTTTTGTTTCTGTGATATTTGAGGTTCGTCTGTTTTTTTGTAAGTGTTTTGCGGCTTCCAGACTGTTATTCAATTGCGCTTTGCCGGTGGAGCCAAAGATCTGGGGTTCAAATTCTGGTGAGTATCCACAAGCAGTTCACGCTTGTAGTCTTATTGCATGCAACACACTTGATACTGCGGGGACCAACGCTGGATATGCCAGGATTTGAGCCTTTTGGTATTTCATCATAAGACCTGTGGCAATGTAACGAAGGCATGTTTTGGCGAAGAAAGGCGAATATTGGAATATTCGTCGCTTTTTCGTAAACGGTTTTTCCTTTTCACTTGCTAATAAACAGCTGAAGACGAACCTCGCGGTATTCGTCCTTTTTTCACAGTAGGACCGGATATTCGTCTTTCTTTCATAAAATATAAAATTACTTTTTTAATTTTTTAATGTAGACGATACTTCCAATACCAAAATAAAGTATTCGAACATCTCTAAATGTAATGGCCATTGGTTCAAAAGATGCAGCTTTTCATGCTCTTTCATATGGTATCGATATCTCTATATGACCCAATTTCCTATATTCGTCCTTTTTTCTTAAGAAGGCAGAACTAAAGGCGCCGAGATAGTATTCTTCTCTCCTTTCTCCTCTTCCCCTTCCCCTTCTTCATCTTGTTATTGATCTTGCTGGAAAATTGGGATATAAGAATAATGGCAAATAATATACATGATACATACATACACACTACAATCATTTGTCAAGAAAACTGATTTTAATTTGACCTAAAGTAAGCATGACTAAGTCAAAAGTTATCCCATTCATTTTTAAAGGCCGAAATTAAACACAAATACATGGTCAGGATCATATCACAGTATAATCAACACAATCATCATGATTGTTGACAGGAATGTGAGAAAAATCTCAGGGTTGGTGAATAAACATGACTCACTTCTCTGTGCCTCTCTGCTGAGTCACCTGGTACTGTTTCGGATTCAGACGCTTCTGCAGCTCTTCTTTATCGTAGGCACTCAGAGACGAAGAAGATGGGGAAGACCCACAACCACCACCACCACAGGGTGTTGTGACAGTGTTCTTCTCTCCTATCTCCCCTTCGCCCTCTTCACCGCCGTCAGCCCCTGCCTTGGCCCCATCAGGTTCGTCTGAGCCGTTATGGGCCGCATCGCAGGCTGCCTTTAGCTTCTTCAGCTTGGCCGAGATTTCCTGTTTTTTTGTGACATAATGGAGGATGTTCATCCGAGCTGGGGAGAGAAGGACAGAGGCTATACAATGAACAAACAGAGAAGGAAGAAATAAGAACAAGGACACAAGGAAGCAAGAAAGAAAAGAAAAAAGTTAGGCATCACGGTGAAATCAGGAACTCGTCAAAATAATGAAATCGAAGAAATCAGGTTTTTTCCGCCTGTTTTGCAATTTTTAAAAAAAATTTCTATTTTCAACTCAACATCTTTAAAGTACATTTAAAACATGTTTATGCATGGATTTTTACTGAAAAACATTGATTGAAGGCACAGGAAATGTAAATTTGCAGTTTCTAAGTATTCTTAAGCTATTGTTCAGCTAAATCGGCCCTTATTCCTTGTGCTTCTCCTACAGGAGAGCTAACAAATAACTTTGGAACATTCTTTGCGGAAAAAAATTCTACAATAAGAGACACTTTAGATAAACACGATTCATCTGCACCAGAATTCCAGGAGTTCCACGGGGACCTCCTATGTAATTTTAAACCTGTCTCACAGGACTCAGTGAAAGAGATAATAATGTCGTCACCACCGAAGTCCTGTTGCCTTGACCCTATCCCGACACCTTTACTAATCAACCATCTTGACGTTGTTATTGATGTTGTAACAGCTATTATTAATGATTCACTCCTTTCAGGACCAGTGACTTCGTGTTTTAAGCACGCAGTCGTAACACCTCTACTAAAGAAACAGTTGTTATCCCCGCAGGAGTTTAAGAACTATAGGCCGGTCTCTAACCTATCATTTTTGTCTAAAATCTTAGCAAAAATTTGTTCAATCTCAATTAAGAGCACATCTTGAAGAAAATAATCTTTAAGAATGTTATCAGTTGGCCTACAGAGCGTTTCATAACACAGAGACTGCACTTTTAAAAGTCCAGAATGACCTCATTTGAGAAGCAGACAAAGGCAAAGTGTCTGTACTTGCCTTACTCGATCTAAGTGCTGCATTTGATACCATCAATCATTCAATTTTGATAAGGAGGTTAGGCCATAGATTCGGCCTATCTGGGACTGTTCTTGAATGGTTTGAGTCCTATTTGTTTAATCGTACATAGTCTGTACTTGTAAATGGTGAAATGTCATCCATTTTCAGCTTGCGATTTGGTGTGCCCCAAGGGTCCGTGATCGGGCCACTCTTATACACACTGTATGTACAAAGCCCTTTAGGTTCAATAATTAGGAAGCACGACGTTAACTACTACAAGTACGTGGACGACACTCAACTGTACAAGTCTGTTTTACAAACAAATTTTAATTGTTCAGTTACCAGCATGGAAAAATGTATTGTGGAGGTAAAAAAATGGATGATATCAGACAGACTTAAAATGAATGATGATAAGTATTAAGACCAAAGTTTTGTGTTGCAATGCCAAACCAGGGATATTGCTTTGCAATTTTGACCATATGTGTATGTATTGGGAATGATAACATCTTTTTCACAGATAAAGCGAAAAATCTAGGCGTTTATTTTGACTGCAAACTCTCTACTATGCACCATCATCATATAAACCATCTATGTAAAGCAAAGTAATTTATTTAGAACTACGCAAAATAGGACAAAGTCAAATGTCAACATATCTTAGAGTTGATTCCATCAAAACCCGCATCTCATCTTTTGTCCTTTCACGTCTAGACTACTGCAATTCTTTTTTTGGAAACATTCCTACTTAAACGTTAAATAGCTTATAGCAACTCCAGAACCAAGCTGCTCGCATAATTTTAAAGAAATCTCTCAAAAAGCATATAACACCAATGCTACTTCAACTACATTGGCTTCCGGTGAAAGCACGAATTCAGTACAAAATAATTGTTCTTTGTTTTAAGTGTGTCAACAACATTGCACGATCATATCTTCGTGACATGGTCATCAAATCTTGGCCTTTAAGATCAGCGACGAAAAGACTTTTAAGACCTGTCAAAAGCAAAAGTCAGAGACTCGGAGGGAGAGCTTTTTCACACCACGCCCCCTCCCCGTGGAACAATTTACCAGCTCATCTACGGGAGTCTACCACTTTAACAAAATTTAAATCAGCACTTAAAACGAATTTGTTTCAGTCCAGCTTCAATCTGTAATTTCCAACATTCCCAATACAAGTATTATTATGTTCTCTCAGTATCTATTATGTTCTCTCAGTATCATTCATCCTGTTCTGTTCTGTAAGAATTTATGACTGTGTGAATTCATCAATGTGTGCAACGGTGTCTGGGTAAGCTTTGTGGGATTGTCTTTATTTACTCAAGGATGTACTGGAGAGAGAGAGAGAGAGAGAGAGAGAGAGAGAGAGAGAGAGAAAGAGAAAGAGAGAGAGAGAGAGA